TAACTTTTTGGTAATATTTAATTGTTCCTTTCTTTGTGAGACAAATATTCAGTACCTTATAATTGCGTCATTACCTTTAGCAGGAATATTAAAAACAATGTGCAAACTACAAGCCAAGAAATACATAAAAATAATTTAATAGTCATTTCAAATTAGCAGACAGGATTGTAATGATTCATTTCTAATAACAAGTTAAATGGAAATTACATAGAATAAACAGAACCTTATTTTTGAAGTACAACTACAGCGTGGTCACAGAGGCCTGATGCATGGCAGTTCAAATTTATCTATGTTCCTCTCCATTCTTTGCAGACATTTTAATTTTCTCATTTTCCTCTGGACCCAACCTTCAGGTTGAAGACTTGACATCACAGAAGCAGGACCTGACAGAGGGTTTTATTTCTCCAGTTGTTGTCAGACCACATTCTCACACCTAGGGTATAGAGGCTGCTGTGTTTACATACTTAGTTCTCAATTCTCACTTTCTCTAACATAACAATTCTCAGATTTATAACTTCCATAGATGGTTGACCAATGTAATTTGATTCAGAGCTATATGGGATACTGTATATAGTTCTGCATGATTTCAGTAATGAGTTTATTTAAAAGCACAGGATTTGGAATATGTGTTTTTTATAGATAAAACAAGGTAAAATGTAATTGCATTTTATCTACCAATATATAATGATAAGCAGTACTGTTAGGAGTGATGATATACACAAACTTGCTTATGCATAGGAGTGTGACTATACAGTGGCTATTGATAACTGGCTAAAGAAAAAGTCACACAAATTAAGTCATGTTTTATTCATGAATTTGCCTATTTATTTAATGTGTAGTTATTTAATGCCTACTATATTTAAAACCCTGAGATAAGAGCTCGGGACAGTGAACAGGGCATGCATAGTTTTTACTTCCAGGGAGTTTTATTTTAGCCAGGGAGATAGACATTAAACATGAAAACAGCTATTATTTGATTGTAATTATAAAAATTGCATTACAGTAGAAGTACAAGGTGCACAAAGACTAGAAAATAGGGCACTGGCTAAGGTTTGTACAGTGAGTGATACTTGCAGGAACCCAAGCCTTCGTAATATTAAGGGGGAAATTTTACTAAGAATGTCCTAGGCAAACAGAATAGCCAAGCCTTCAGACAGGAAGGAAGTGTGATGAAATTGTGGACCTGAAAGGATGTTAGAATTAGAGTCCAGAGTGCTTACTAAGGCATACAAGCTCCTGCCTCTCTACACCTCATCTCATTTCATAAATCTCTACCTCCCCACTGGAGTCATAAACGTACAGGTGGTAGATCAAACCACATGATTGCTGAAATTATCTAGGAATGGTAAAAAGAAAACTGGGAGAATAACAGAACCTTGAGACCTCTTGACACTCGATGTTTAGTTAAGAAGGATACTCCAGCAAAGGAGACTAAGAATAAGCACTCAGAGTGGTAGGAGGAATATCAGAAGCCAAAAGAAGGAGGTGACCAGACATGTCAGATGCTGCTGAGAGGTAAAACAAGTTGAAGTCTGGCCGGTTATTGGCCAGATTGAAGTTACTGAACAGAAATGGATGCTGGGTAGAGAAGAAAGGAAAAAGAGCAAGGGGGTGATGGATATAGAGAAAGTAAAGGGATTAGTGGATCTCAGATCCCAGTGAAGTCCACGAATAGCCTTGGCAGAAATTGTGGAAAAAGCAGTCTTGGAGAAGGCGATTTGGCTGGAGTGAAGGGAATAAACTTGAGGATAGGAGAAGAAGTGAAAGAGAAACATACTTAATATTGGAGGTGGAAACATTTCAGCTGATGATAGACTTCAAATGTGATCTTGGGACTGAAAGCATGAGTTAGAAAAAATGAGAAGTTCATTTGTAATAAGGAGATCTGGGGATGAATAAGATAGAATATTTATGTAGATGTGGATATTGTCCAAGATCATGGCGATGCTGAGGCTACATCAGATGCTGGACAACAGTCCAGGTGCCAAAGACTTCTTTTGAAAGATGCATAGAGATGAGTAGATAGATGATACCAACAAGAAGAGAGATGGGGCATAGCTAGACGACAGGAATATCAAAGCAGCAGGCACATTTGCAAGGAGGTAAGGTGTAATGGACAACACTCAGGGAAGGGGATCCTCCACTTGAGGGTAATAGGGATGAGGAAGAATAAGCAGCCAGTATCATTCACAGAGGAAGTGGTGTCTTCAAAGAAGAATGAGATTTTAGTCAGGGTAAGAAGGTAGAGACAATGTTCAGAAAAGAAGTTGAATATGTAGTGAAGTTTGCAAACTATGAAGCAAAGTTATCAAGGCACGGTGGAAGAATTTGAGAGATAGGAAAGGGAGGAGGGAAGAGAGAATTGAGGGTTAGGGAGGGCAGTTGGGTAAATAAGAATGAAACACTGCAGGAATTTTATTGTAGCAGAAAAGAGATGCCAGGGCATAATGTGCAGACCCGGGGAACTAGATGGAGGGGCTAAATAAACAAGGAAGAGGGAGTATGGCAGGGTCAATAACTTAAGAGACACCTACCTCCCTTTACGTTAGGACCTGGGAACAGCAGCTTGGCTATAATATGTAACATAAAAGAGAAGTTGGAAAATCTGACAGGGCTTACTTAAGAAGAGACTCCACTGTGGGAACTGTTTCCAGGAAAATGAGGCTCTTAATTACTGAAACACTAATATGTTTATAAAATGTCCAGTCTGCCAGAGGTTTGCACCAGGAAGCACAGGAGCTTTACAATTCAGAACCTATTCTGATCAAGGGGTTATTTTCTCTCTCAGGCTTTCACAAAAATCCTTTCATGAGTAAATAAGCTCAGCATTTCTTTTATTTTCAGTGTGGAATATATTAGAATATACATAACTTGCATGAATTCTTAACTTTCCCTCAATGTTTTAATATTTTCAATTGAATTTGGTATGAACAAACATGAAGCTTATTCCTTCTTTAATCTATTGCATTGCTCAGTTCTGAGAAACTATGATTTAATACTCATGTCATAACTTGAAATAATAATATACTTTTCAAATGTGTCTAATTCATAATCAGGAAAGTAGTTGGATACTGAAATCTGCTTCTTTCCAAAAACTACGTGATAATAGAGGCCTGACAATAAATTTTAAAAATTACAGTGATGGACTTATGTTTTTGTGGGCTGTGGAGGAGCTAAAAATAAACAAGCGGGATGGTTTAGTTCTAGTCAATACCAACATCCAAACTGATCTTGTGAGCTGTCTTTTGTAGTATCGCTAGGATCCCTTCCTTTGCCATTAGAAAAGGAATTTGAGAAATATCTGCAAATGACTTACCACACTCTATTTTAATTATCTGCATAAACAATGTAAAAAATTGTGTTTTAATAATTTGGAGTCTGAGAGAATGTCATGTTATGTTTGTATTCTCACACCACATCCATTATCTGGGATGCTATAGTTAGATGGTGGTTGAATGTACCAGTTGTCTATCAGCATACAATGCTGCATAACCACCAGAAAAACATAATGGCATACAACCAAAATCACATTCATTTTGCTCATGAAGCTGTGGAATTCAGCTGACTTGAGCTGGTCTCAGATGATCTAGACTGGTTTCACCCAAATGTCTGGGGCTTCTCTGGCTGTTGTTTTCTTCAGCTTGGACAACTGGGGTGGCCTAACTCTCCATCTCATGTTCAATCTACGGCCAGCTAGTCTAGGCATAGTCTCATGGCATAGTGGAAGTTAAGGAATGAGCAAAAACAATTGTGCAAGCCTCTTTCGAGCCTCTGTGTCAATATCCTGTTGGGCCAGAAGAAGCCACATTAATAGGCCAAAAGTCAGAATAGGAGGGCACTGCAAAATTCTGTAGAAAGGACATGGATATAGAGAGGAGTGAAGAGTGAGGGCTACCTGGGCATCCAGTCCCCTGCATTAAAAATCTCAAGAAATCAATCATGAAGAACACTGTCCGAGGTTCAGGATTCATATCATAAGACTCAGCACTGTTCATTTTGTTAACTCAAGTGAATTATTTAATCATTCTAAAGCCTAATTTCCTTATTGGCCTTTCTCAAGCTTTAAGAGAGGCTGATTTTATAAAATCAAGCTTTCAACAAATTTCATGCAATATATGGTCTATAGGAGAAACTTTACAGGAAACGTATCCATTATACTATCCTTTAGTAGCCAACATGGCTAGTCTGAATGGCCACAGTTGACACGATAATATTGACTCTAAGAATCTTCACATATTCTGTAATCTTATTCAAATTGATAAACTTCCAATCTGGACTTGGGTATGAATTAATTAAGTGCTGGAAGTTTAATTTCCAATTGAAGTTTTCACTTTTTGCTCCCATCTGATGATTCTTTTGAAGCATACAGTGTGTCAGTATAATGTCAAATGCTGTGACATCTCTTACATGTGAGATGAGTTATAGGGACCATTGATGCCGTGCCTTAATAATTCATTGTTATGATGAATTATTACTCTGAAATTGACTAGAGGAGCTTTGTCAAATTTGCATAATGCTGATAAAAAATGTGGGTTAATTTATAGTAGATGTTATGATATGTTTTATATAAAGAGTATGATGATACATAAATGAAATCTGCTTTTGATCATATAATATGAAATTATGTAATATATAATGAAGTGCTGGGTTAGTTAACTATAAGAATAAAAACTAAATAAAAATGTTCTAAATGAAAAATATATTTTACAAGCTTCACAAGAAGAAAATAATATACACAAATGGTCTTTGAAGATGGTTTTCTATGCCTAAAATTATTTCTTATTCTAGTTACTTAGATTGCTTCAAAAATTGTACACCTTGATTTCCAAAATATATTGATGAACATATAATTTGTAACTTGCTTCGACATGTCAAATGTTCTGTTTCAGACATACAGAAATGAATTGCCATGTGATAAATCTTTCATATTTCTCCGAAGCATTTATTTTGGACTGACAATTTACTTGTGAAATCAGTCACTCTGACTTGTGTCATTTCAGCGTCATCACGTAGACATAACCAAGAAACTTCACCCAAATCAAGCTGGCCTGGATTCGAAAGTACCGGTTGGTAGTCAGAATGATTTGGTGGATGAAGAGAAAGAGAGGAGCAACCGTGGGGCCACGGCAGTAGCAGGTACTGATGTGACTATAGGTCAGTTAAGCCACGGTAGTTTGACTGTCCACATGACAAAGGTACAATGGACAGATTCTTACTGTTATTTTGTTTGGAATATATGACTCAGCCAAAGTAATCACCCTGCTCTGCAGATCACATTGAAATGAAGTTTTACGTGAAGCATGATGTTGAACACTCACTATAATAATAGTCATGTTTATTGTTTTCCATTATTAGATTTTTCACCTCCTTTATGGCTTTCATGGCCAATAAAATATTTTAAGATTGCTTGTACTTTTTTGATAATAATATTTTGATATTTTTGCTAGAACAATGAACAAGAAGAATTACTGTCTTGAAAAGAGGTTAAAATAATTGAGATGTTTTAAATTTAAAGAAGTGTCAGATAAGTCATTGAATGCAAGCTTGAATTATGATGGTTCAGTTTATAGAGATTGTGATCTGATATTTTTCATCTCCACTGAGTGCAAAACAAAAGCAAATGGACTTGTGGAGGAGTTGATAGCATTCAATTAAGCTACCCAGACTAACTTCCATATGGCGGAAATTTGGGATGAGCTAGCAAGGGAAATAAGAAGTTTGTTTCTTGCCAATATTTTAGACACACCAAACCCTCTCAATTTCTATTACACTTTATCTTTGAAACTTCACATGTATTTCGCATGAAAATTGAAACTGTAATTATTCTTAAGCATACGGTTTCCTCCTTTCTCATCCTTATTTGGTTTTGTAGCTAGCATGCTTTCTTCTCCAAGGACATGTAAAAGTCAAAATACTAGATATAAAGTCTCTGAAGTGTTTCTGCTCCAAACGCTGTCTGCACGATCTGGGTTCTTTCATGTAGTTAGCTTACTGGCTTCTGACACTCCTATAAAAACGTCCCAGAGAGCTTTTCTTATTACCTTTTCATTGACTCTCTCCTAGTGAGAAAAATGAAATTCTGTAAAGGGCTTTGAAAACCATGCATATTGCAATTCCTCCACATTTCTAATACTAATCAAGTGTGACTATAAAAGAAACAACCACGGCAGTGAAAATTGCTGTAGCGCATTGAGTCTCAAGCCATTATTAATTCATAGGAACCTGTTTTTTTTTTTTTCTTTAAGATTGTGGATTTTAAAAAGTACCAGATAACACAATTCCTGAGATCAAAGTTTTTGTTTCAATCAGAGGGAAACGTTATCTAATCTTCTCTTGTATGTGAATCTTTCTGGGATGGTACAGCAGTAGTCCCAGCTTTGTGCCCTGAGTGAGTAGTACAGCGTATGTTACAGACCAGAGCAGTACCAGCTTTGAACATATTACTTGTAAGTGATGATTTTAGGGACAAAAATGACCTGGAATTAAAGCAGTGGTTCTAGGCAAGTGAGACTCCCTAACTTCATTCAAGAGAGTAAAATGGAATCTCCTTTCCTAGATAAATTTGATTTTAACATCCATTTATTTAGAAATTACCCAGTATGAACATCTTGGCAATATTTTTATTTGCTTTCCCATTTGTAAATGCAATAATTACAGTCTTTCTTCCTTATGGATTATAATTGTGTGGTAATTCTATATATAAAAATACAAAAGTAGAGTAGAGCAAAAATATAATCTTTCAAACTTTATTTTTATCTTATATCATATAGTATATGTTCTTCATTTCCAAAAAAAAAGACTCATTGGAGCCATACTTAACATTTACCATACTGCACATGGATAGCTCATGGAATATGTTGTAGCCTTCTTTGAGTTCAGGATGGGTAGATTAGGCCTTTTCTGAGCTTTCTCCTCTTTCTAATGCTTAGACATAAGTCAGTCATGTCCTAAATTATCTTTGATGAGAGTAACAGTAGCAGAGACTTTGTAGCATATCACAGACTTAAAAAAAAAAAAAAAAAAAAAAAAAAAGCCTAATTAAGATAGGGGTGCTGCTTTGCTTTTCTAGTGTTGCTCTTTTGGGATACCCAGACCTAATTCTTTCAGTTAAATGGGGTGGAACCTTTTCAAATATGTATCTAATAATTGTACTAAGGAAATTATTTATCTTGGTATTCAATGTCAACAACTAAAATTTTGCTGTGAATGACTGAACATGAATTGTGTAATAAGACTCTATTCCAGCCAAGAGTACAGTAAATCCTCACTTAGGAGCAGTGCTGCCAGCCACTGACATCTTCACTAAGAAATTGATGAAAACATTTCACCAGATTCTAGATAACTTTGTTCTGTGGGTCCTTGATTCAATCTGGTTGCTTGGTGATGCCCATGCCTTATTTTAAGAACATTATTATTAATTCTACATGTTATTTTATCCATAAATTACTAAAATATGTTATCTGAAAGTAGGATGATTAAGTGATAGAATGATAAAGCACAGACCTTTAGAGGCTGAACTGAGAAGTCTGGGTTAACATTTTGGTTTCCCCATTAGGTAGCTATGTACCATGAGCAATTTGTTATTTAAGACTATTCCTTTATTTGTAAAATTGAGTTACTAGTAGTGCTATACCATGGGCTTTTTTTTTTTTTTTTTTTGAAGATTATATTAGATCAAATAGGTAAAAGTATAGTACATAGTAAACTACAATGAAGTCAAGCTATAATAATTAACTACTGAATCTTTACGAATTGATTGCTAAGGAAAACTTTGTTTTCCTACGATATGCTCTGTAAATTGCTGGCTGTGGCCACTTGATGTTATGGATCTTTTAGTCTCTAAGTTTCTGTCTGCATTTTTTGCCTTTGAGAACAGTATGCTCTTGGAGATGTTATGGCCTTTGCGAATGCTATGAACATTGGAGGGGATGAGAAACCCTCTTTGATAATGTCACTGATTCCTCACAGTAAGAGAAACACTCCAATTGTGTAGAGACATGGATGCCCTGATTCTCCCTAATGGACTCTTTCCCCATCTTACTTCAGCAGCAATAGCCGAGGAGGAACATAGGGCTTCAATGTTTATTCAGCTTAAGGTCTATTTTTAGTAATAACATGTGTTAAGTGGAAATGTTTTCATTGTACTATTTGCTGCATCCAGTTCCCTGCCCTGATTTACATGTGGAAAGTTGATTGGGAAGTGCTCTCAGGAACAGCACTTGAGGCAGAGTCCCAGAAGCAGATCTGGGCAGAGGGAAAAACTGAATCATGCTATAGTCACAACAAAGACCTCAACTGATCCCATAGAGAGCTCTGGAGTTGGCATGGTTCTTCAGGGTTGTCCTGAATTAGTGGGTGGGGAACAGACTTTTATACCCCCTGCATCAAACAATCATTGGATGCAGCTGTCCCTGAGGAGAGTCTGTGGTTATGGGCAATGTGGCTTTTTTCAGCCAAGGGCACAGCCATTTGGTACAAGAGGATGATTACTCAGTTCTGAGGAGGATCTGATTATTATGTGGGTCACTCATTAATTGCTGCCATTGCTTCCGGTTATCTTCCGGGCTAAACAGGGGGCCATTTTCCTTTTTCCTCCTTATGTCTCTCTGGAAACTCAAATCATTGCCAGGAAGGATGACCTTTTAAATATGCTTATTTGTTTTTGCCCTACATAAACATAAATGTTTTCTAATAAGCAAATGTTACACTCTCCTGATCCATATTTTCCAATGTGATTTTCTTCCTTTTGTAACTTCGACTGTGGTCTTTGAATTTTCCCTACAACTTTAGACTAAATCTGTGCTACTGTTTGTCCTTCATAAATTAGACTAGTCAGGTAGTAAGACAAACCCTGGGCTAGAAAATGAAACCCAGGCACTCCAAGTTTGTGTCCCAGTTCTACCACAACCTGGATTCTTAGCCTTTCAGAAGCCATTTCATTTCTCTGAGCTTGACTTTCTCCATCAAAATAGTGGGTATACCAGATAATCTGTATGCCCTATCAGTTCTGAAAGCCTGTGATCCTATGGCTTACTCTGACTTAGTCCAAATTGTTGGACTCAAATGGTCTTATCTCTAAGTGAGACTCACATACAGGTAATTCACCACATCTAAGATCTTACTTAATTTGGAAATTTAAACAGGTCAGAAAAAAACAAACTCCCTGGGAAAGCTCTCCACTTAGGCCAAGGTCGAAGCTAGAGATTAAAGAATGATTCTGTAGCTTTAGTTTAACATAAATGCTTAACATAAACTTCAGATCCTATTTGTATCATGGAAAATAAAACATAAGTAGTTTCCTATCGGGACCATTTTGAGGATTAGACAAGTTGGGGGTTCTATATTAAAGACCTTAATTGAAAGACTGATTATATGGGATCAAGAAGTAGGTAGTTTAGATCATAAAACACATTGATGTCTCTTAATTTTAAAGAAGAAACACCTCAAATTCAGGTTTATTCTAAGTAGTGTTCTAAGTGCAAAAATTACTTTTATTCCAAAGTCTAGAAAATCTGTTATTTAAAATATTGTATGATTTTCAACCAATGATTTAAAAATTGTCCCTTCATCTTTATATTTAACATCAATGCAGATATTTAATAATATAAACAAAATAATTATATTAGTAGAATTTATTTTACATTTCTAGATAAGGCTATTTTAGTTTGGAAATACTGACACCCTAAAGAAAAATGTTATAAGATTGCTCTTCATTTTATAGCAACCTATCTCCCTCTTCTCAGACTATTTAAATGTTTAAGAATGTGCTGCAAGGACAACCCATAGCCATTTCATTCTTTGAACAATTCTGAAATATCATTTCCTATTAGGAAGTTGTGTGAGCACTGACAACCTCGCCCCTCTTCTTCCCTAGAGATTAATTTATTTCCTGCAGTGCTTGCTTTTCATGGAAATCTTACTCGTAAGCCTTCACCAATGGGAGATCTCATCAGCAGAATGCTAATTATAAAACAAAACCGTGTACCATATTGAGAGGGAAAAACAGTTCTCTAGGCAAAACAAGCTTTTTGTTTTCTTTTTACTCTGCTCTGTGCTCCATCTATGGTTGAACAGAAATATTAACCCCTGGGAAAATATTCCACAAGGTGCTGGGGGATGGTAGAGAGTGCAAGTTT